TTTGATTAACATGACCGGATGTTGAGGGGAGGTGTGTACCTCCCCTGAGATCGTTTTGCACCTCCCCTGAGAATTTTTGCACCTCCCCTGAAAAGCCATGCACTTCCCCTTGGGAAAGTTTCAATGATATCCTGCGATATGCATTTGTTTGATTAACATGACCGGATGTTGAGGGGAGGTGTGTACCTCCCCTGAGATCGTTTTGCACCTCCCCTGAGAATTTTTGCACCTCCCCTGAAAAGCCATGCACTTCCCCTTGGGAAAGTTTCAATGATAGATCAAAGTGAAAATGTGAGATTTTTTGGTTGCTTAGGGTCTACACTTCGAAAGAAAGTTTTTCTGTAAAATTGAAACAGTGATAGCCAATTCATCTCTGTGTCAAGTACCCTTTTAATGCAATATTTTGAAAGAAACTTGGTAGTAATTGTAATGAGTTGTTGTATAGTCATAATTCATTAGTACACGCGTCGTTGACTTTCGCCCAGTTCTAAGCCCTGACATTCCATGGGGGTCGTGAGCTAAATTGCTGCACCTCCCCTAAGATTCTTGCCACCTGCCCCACTATTTCCACCAAAATCCGGCCTTGCTGATTATCATTTCACCTCATTCGCATATGAGAAAAAGTACTTCCAGTCTGGCTCTATCATACACCACAGCTTTGCTCTGCGGGTACTCCGGTTTCCCCTTGTTGTAGAAACGCAGTTTAGTTTTTCACTTTTTCTTCTATGTTGTAACACTGGAGCAATAAGTGAGTTCATTAGTTCAATGTTATACCTCATTATCATTAATGACAAACTGTCGACTTCCAGCATCAGCATAGTCTTCCTCCTCGTCATCTCCAAACATCCCAGTGTACGTGAACGACGCTTTACGTGAACCGTAGAACGCAGAGAACTTCATCGAGGGTCTAAACAAACATGAGGTAATTGTAATAGGCACGAGAGAATTGCTACAACTTGCAATGACACCGAAGCTGCAGGACAGAACTCAGAAGGAAGATTGCCACCCTCCACTTTTTCCCTATAAATAAGTCCCCCAACTGTTTCTCTGGAGGGTTTCTGTACAATATTAAGGTTCAGTTAACTGCTGAATAACTCTGGATCTAAGGGATGGACCTTTAGATATCCTGGGGAGGAGGGTGACAGACCCCGCGAGAACAAATCATGCAAAGAGCGGAGTTTGAAAGAAAAAAAATCATGCAAACAATTTGGGGAAAGAAAAAAAATTCTAGAAAAAATATATATAGAAAAAAATTCCTGCATAGTAAGCTCCGAACCTAAACAAATCTTGCAAGGAAAATTTCTCCTACCCCCTTTAGGTTATGTGCGTAATCAGTTTAATTCAATCTCACTTGAATAGCCTGGGCGCTTATGCAGTACAAGGGCGCTTATACAGTACAAGCGCCCTGGCTGTGTGCGTGGTTTTATACAAGCTTGTTCACGCACAATCTATTGTTACTACAATTGATTTTCTACTTACGATCCACGCCATCTACAGCAGAGAATTGACACAATAGCGATGATAATCAACAGCCCAAACGCACAAGGGATTACGATCTCCAAAAGTTTTTCTGCAAATTAAATAAAGCATGTTAGTGAGCTGGTCTTGGACAAAATTGAAGATATATTTTTGCAACGTTTGTTCTCATTCTGTCAAAGAAGATGAATTGAGGAAATGTATATAGTGTCATCTCGCGCTCTCCAAATCGAAACCCTGCTCAAATTTACGATTTCGCCTTTCACATTTACATGATGTCGCATGAATTCGAGCACACCTAACCGTAGGGGTTTCCGTGTGAATAAATGGAACCAGAGAAATTTGGGCAGGGTTCCAAATTCGTCCGCTCTCGTGTGAATATAGTCTAGGAGGTAAATACTAAACTCTAATGCATTAAACTTTCGATCATTGCTACATTCAGTTCTCGTGAAATTCTTGTTCTCGTTTCATTGAGCAATTGCATCTAACGAGACTAGTGTGAAACTCGCATGCGAACCATCGTTTGCATGTCTCCATGCAACTTTTATTTTCATTTATTCAGGCAATAAAAGTTGACAAAACTCTTGCTTGCCGAATCCGAAGCAACTCATGTTGTTATTTATAATCAAGTAAAGAAGTTGAGGAAACTCTCGCGTAAACTCTCATTTGTCAAACTGCAAAAGTCTGAATTCCCCTCCCTCCTTAGTTGCGAACATACTAAATTTGACGACCTCTTATCCCTCCAAGTAAAACTGAGATATCACTCATGAAACTACAGCACCTCTAGCGCAAACATAGTCCCTCCAATCATATGCTGCATGTACAGCCGTGATTATGCAGTACATGCCGAACACCGCCATACTTGTAGCTACAAAAGTATGCGGTAAACTGCATGGTATACTTTATTCTTATGTTTCCAATAAACTGTACCAATAAACTACTGTACAGTAACCTGGTGTAGCTTATCTATGCAACTCTTGTTCTCGTTTGGTCAAGCAATGAAAAACTCTCATGTAAACCCTCGCCTGTCAGCTCTCATGCAACTCTTGTTCTCATTTGATCCTCAATTTCACCAAGTAATGACAGTTGAGGAGACTCTCGTACAAATTCTCGCTTGCCAAACTCTCATGCAAATCTTGTTCTCGTTTGATCACTAGCAATTATAAGGATGATGAAATTGCCAAATACAATATGACAAACCTAGTCTTCAACGCTTGTTTGATCTGGACATTATAACATGTCAATAACAAGAAAATATCCACTCAGTCATATAAATCAAAGATGCAAGAACATATTATAACCGAAGTCTTAGTAAAACCTAATAGACAGCCAGTTACTTACCGTCCATATCGCTTACCGATCCTATACCAATCGCCGACAACCGTCTACCTCCCAGATACGTTTACGCAAGCTTTTGAACTGATTATAGCTGACCGGCTTGTCAAAGCAGTTACAACTTTAAAATTTATAATTAAGACATCGTATTTCCTTTTTCCAAGTTGCGAAATACTTATATTGCCATAGAGTTCAAATGCCGATCGCATTTCGTATGCAAAGTTTTGTCAAACACTTGTATTGCCCTATATTTCAACGGAAATATACACTCGAATATCTTTCGGTATAGTTTCAAACTTTTGCAAGACTTAATTATAGGTCATTCGTGGTATAGATTTTATATTGTAAAGGAAAGAGAATTCATGGGGAGTCGGTGGTCAAATAGAGCTATCCAATATAAATAAAATTAGTTTGGTTTCGTAATTCTAAATCAATTATTCCTCGTAGAAATGATAAGAATGCTTACTTTTATCAGAATTGCCTGATCTTGCTTGCGCATTTAAACAGTCTGGGCGGATCTTGTTATCCTGGCATCTATTGCAAAGAAAAAAAAATGTTTTCAATATTGCTTTGTTTTCATGAAATATAGTTGATGTTTGGTTTTACAAGGAATATATCATGTTGATTCTAAAAAGTGCAAGTGGTTTCGTTGAGGACAAGTTAAAAGGGTATTCTTCAAGGAAGGTCAAATGTTTACAAATTCATTTCATATGTAGCAGTATTTGGTGGGCAAGTATTTATAATGTACTGCTCTTATAAATGTCCATATTTCTAACTGGTTCAATACGAAGTTCCATCCAGTTAAACGTTTGCTAGCAGTGGCTACTTACCTGCACTGAAGTGTGTCATCACGCACAACGCACGTGCCATTATTACCACATTTGTGGTCTGCGCATGTGTGTTCACATATCTTGCCCGCTGTACCACCAGGGCAACTATAAGGAAAGCGAAACCAGTATTAACACAGAATGAAATCAACACGAAGACAAATTCAAACTAAACTAACTTTATATAGATACTGGATAGCTAAATCCATTCTAAACTGTTCTCCCTAAAGATCCAGTGAGGGCTATAAAATTGCTTCATTCAGATACAAAACATGCACGACAGCCTATTGTAGGATACTGCCTACACTGGTCCATCACGTTTGAGATATATTTTATATGTTTTATAAATGATATCTTATAAATGTCCATATTTCTAACTGATTCAATACCAAGTTCCATCTAGTTAAACGTTTGGGAGCAGTGGCTACTTACCTGCACTGAAGTGTGCCATCACGCACAACGCACGTGCCATTATTATCACATTTGTGGTCTGCGCATGTGTGTTCACATTTGTCGCCCGTTGTATCATCAGGGCATCTATAAGGAAAGCGAAACTAGTATTAACACAGAATGAAATCAACACGAAGACAAATTCAAACTAAGCTAACTTTATAGATACTGGATAGCTATATCCATTTTAAACTGTTCTCCCTAAAGATCCAGTGAGGGCTATAGAATTGCTTCATTCAGATACAAACCACGACAGCTTATTGTAGGATACTACCTACACTGGTCCATCACGTTTGAGATATATTTTATATGTTTTATAAATGATATCTTATAAATGTCCATATTTCTAACTGATTCAATACCAAGTTCCATCTAGTTAAACGTTTGGGAGCAGTGGCTACTTACCTGCACTGAAGTGTGCCATCACGCACAACGCACGTGCCATTATTATCACATTTGTGGTCTGCGCATGTGTGTTCACATTTGTCGCCCGTTGTATCATCAGGGCATCTATAAGGAAAGCGAAACTAGTATTAACACAGAATGAAATCAACACGAAGACAAATTCAAACTAAGCTAACTTTATAGATACTGGATAGCTATATCCATTTTAAACTGTTCTCCCTAAAGATCCAGTGAGGGCTATAGAATTGCTTCATTCAGATACAAACCACGACAGCTTATTGTAGGATACTACCTACACTGGACCACCACGTTTGAGATATCTTTTTCAGGTAGTTCAGACACAAACCACGGCAGCTTATTGTAGAATACTACCTACACTGGACCACCACGTTTGAGATATCTTTTTCAGGTAGTTCAGACACAAACCACGGCAGCTTATTGTAGAAAACTACCTACAAGCTGGACCACTACGATTGAGATATCTTTTTCAGGTAGTTCAAATACAAACCACGACAGCTTATTGTAGAATACTATACCTACACTGGACCACCACGTTTCAGATATCTTTTTCAGGTAGTTCAGACACAAACACTGGACCACCACGTTTGAGATATCTTCTTCAGGTAGTTCAGACACAAATCACGGCAGCTTATTGTAGAATACTACCTACACTGGACACCTACACTGCACCACCACGTTTGAGATATCTTCTTCAGGTAGTTCAGATACAAATCACGGCAGCCTATTGTAGAAAACTACCTACACTGAACCACTACGTTTGAGATATCTTCTTCAGGTAGTTCAAATACAAACCACGACAGCTTATTGTAGAATACTATACCTACATACACTAGACTTTCACATCTGGTGTATTTATATCAGCATAGCCAGATAAACAAACCCGATATAATATAAAGGTTCAGACTTGACTTCCACTACCGCTACCATCAAGGGACCATGAACCAATCAGATGCGTTTGATATATCCGATTAACCAATCAGATGCGTTTGATATATTCGATTAACCAATCAGATGCGTTTGATATACTCGATTAACCAATCAGATGCGTTTGATATATTCGATTAACCAATCAGATGCGTTTCATATATTCGATTAACCAATCAGATGCGTACTAAGCCAGTGAGAGAAACTCAAATCTGAACCTCTATAATCACGTGAGAACGACTTAATTTTTAAAAACAACTGAATGTCAACTTACTGACAGAACGGCTTTCCATCAATTATTTCACATTTTCCTCGGACACAATAACCAACACAATAATCAACTGCAAAATAAAAAGAACAACGATGTCTCTGTCAAACTTTCATTCAAAAAAGCATTCTATATATGTGTTATGTGTTAATGTGTGTCTGTCATCCGCTTCGAAAAGAACTCGTAATCAGTGAATGTATAATTGATGTATGAATGCTTAATTTCTATTGGCGGAGGCATGTAGTCTCTATGGGCGCCCTCAAGATATATAATGTGTCTATATAACATGTATGTTCAAAAGATCGCAAAGTTAATAAACATGTATTGCTACAAGACGTACCTTCACATATTTTTTTATCGACTTGACCATTAGGACATAAACATACGGGACCGGCATCACTGGGCAGACATATATGACTACACGAGTCTGATTTACATTGAGTACCTGAAGAAGATGAAACATCGTTTTAATATTCATAAATGGATTTTTTTGGGTGGGGGCGGGTGCAGGGGGGGGGGAGGGCAGGTATGAATGGATAGCCCCCTGGGTTTAGAATTTTTTCCTGGCACCCAAATTCTGGCAGCCAATCTAAAGGTGATGCCTTGCGGAAGGGGCTAGTTTAGGCGCAGATTTAGTACAAAAATACTCAGTCTGAAGGAAATTTTTATCTCCAGATTGTATTCCCAGGGAGAGCGGTTACAGTATCTCTAACTTACCTTTGGACTGACTCTGTCGCGCTTTATGGTAAACCTTGATCCTCGCTTCGGGTCTAGTGTTGACTAACTTGATCGGATGACCATGACCAAATTTATTCCATTTAAACGCCACACCTTTTTTCGTTATGATATAGAGATAATCCTCAAAGACGTCAATAGAATACGGTTCAGAAAACTCTCCTTTGAGTTGAGCTGATGTGAGAACCACTCGTCTGTCTGTTCCGTTGGTGAAGACCGTTTCCACTTCGCTTTCTTTCATGTCACACCAGTACAGGCGGTCTGTGAGAGTGTCTATTGCTAGACTGGTAGGCCACAATAGTTTCGACTTGACAAGAACTTTACGACCCGTTCCGTTTAAGTTGGCAACTTCGATCTTCGGGACAAGGCCAACTTCACACCAAAACATTTTACTACAAGGAAAAGGGTAATCATTTTAATAATCTTAACGTCAAAATTCATCTCCGAGATTAAATTTTTTATGCCTACTAATAAAAAACTGTGTAAAAATCTGTAACATACACAAGCAAAAATCTCACATCTTGTATAGCAAGTCTACCAACAAGCCGTCAACAAATTGTATTCGCACTGCTTGTCCCAAATTGTCACAAAATATGGAACAACTAGTTAACAATTGTTTTTGTTTGTGGAAACACCGCGTAAATTTATTACTGCAAAGCTTTCGATCCGTAAGCCCGGATCTTACATATTATTAGCACTGATGAAGATCCGGGCTTACGGATCGAAAGCTTTGCAGTAATAAATTTACGTGGTGTTTCCACAAACAAAAACAATTATATTTTATCGCCATGCAAACATTCAAAGAACTTATAACTAGTTAACAGTTTTGTAACAACCTTATTGATATTATCAGACTTGTTTCAAGTTTGTTCCAACAAGTTCGATACAGTCATGATATAACAATATTGTTACAACCTTGTGTCGTCAACTTTGTAACATTCTTGTTATATCATGACTGTAACAAACTTGTTAGAACAACCTTGTAGCATGTCTGATAATGCCACCAAGCTTGCTACAAGTTGTTAACAGCTTGTTTCAAAAACTTGTTGATATTATCAGACTTGTAGCAAGGTTGTTCCAACAAGTCCGATACAGTCATGATATAACAATATTGTTACAACCTTGTGTCGTCAACCTTGTAACATTCTTGAAATATCATGACTGTATCAGACTTGTCAGAACAACCTTGTAACAAGTCTGATAATGCCATCAAGCTTGCTACAAGCTGTTAATAGATTGTTCCAAACTTGTTACAACAACTTGGGACAAGCAGTGCGAACACATCTTGTCGACAACTTGTGAACATATTTGCAACAACGTGCTTGCAGACCTGTAACAACTTGTGCGTTTTTACGTGTCTACAGTAGCTATCGCAATTTTTCGGGGCACCATGTAAAGGCTGCCTTCTCCACAGGTGTTTAACTATTAAAGAAATACCTCCATGCAAGCACAGTCCTGATATCAACAAGATATACTCACCGTTTTTCAAGATACAGTATAAGACTACTTGGTTGATTATGCGGTCCAATCCTGCTTAGAGCGCGATGACCCTTCCCAAATATCGACTTCACTTTTATAGTATAGTATAGTAGTATATCTGTTGAGCTTGCCTCGATCCAGAAAATATTTCCTCCCATCCAATCCACGGCGAAAGATTGGGGTTTTCCTGTGGTCTGAACGATTGCTTGGTACTTTCCTGTATCTCTTCGTCTTCGTTGCCTTTTAGCTACAGAACAGAGCAATATCCTAAACTGAAGTAAACTTATTTATACTGGATAACTTTATCAGTTCTAAACTGTTCTCCCCAGTGGTTCAGAAAGGGCCATTCCCTACTAATGGTCGATCTATACGGTTACAACAGGAGGAAACCTAAACCAATCTAACTTTATTTATATACTGGATAGGCTGAATAGCTCTGTCAGAATTGTCTGAACAGTTCTCCCAGGAAATCCATTATTATTAGTGAAGAGAAAAAAAACTAAATTAACTTTACTTATACTGAATAGCTCTATCAGTTCTAAACTGTTCTCCCTGGAGGTCCAATAAGAGTCACCTCTATTGGTCAAATGTTCCAGTGTTATTACAGCACGAGTCCTAAAACAAAACTGACTTTATTTATACTGGATAGCTCCATCAGTTCTAAACTATTCTCCCTAAAGGTAAAGATCACGCGAAATTGCTGCAGTGTTAATGCAGAAGGAAGCCTAACCTAAACTAACTTTATAGCTCCATATCCCTAGAGGTTCAGTAAGAGTCATCTCTTATTGGTTCACTGTTACTACATCAGGAATGGTACTTTGATAGAGTCAAATTTATATTCAGATAACTACATAAATTATATTCAGACAACTGCATAAATTATATATTCAGACAATTGCATACTGTAGGAATTATAAGTAGACGTTTCCTAACCTTCAAAGGCCGCCAAGTAAATCGCTTTTTTCTTGCCGTCCAGCCAAAGTACGGCGGACGAATTTTCTGCGACAAAAAAGTCGACGCTTTTAATTTCGCTGTCAGTCGAGACCACACTATGTCCACCGTAACCATTCGGAGAATATCCTCGGATACCGTCGTGTGTCGGAATGAAGATGGTAGGAGGAGTATCTAAAAAAACACATGATAAGAAAGACTGAACTACAAAAAAACTGGAACGATAGCTTTTCCGCCAACCAGGGGCAGATCTACCACGGAAGTGCAGGGGGGGGGTGCGCCCCACCACCCACCTGGAGTCCTGCACCACCTTAAAAAATCTGCTTGACCATACATTTTCTGCTTGCGAATAGCGGAATTTCTGCTGTTGGCGCGAGTCGATTTCTTGAAACGATTAAATTGATTTGTGAGCTCACGAGAAAATACTCAGAATGCTTTGGTTAAATATCATGGTTAAATATGTAAGCATGCCGAGAGTGTTATACAGCCATATTTTCAAATATACTGTACTTTAACAAGCAAATTTACTGTACAGTGTTACAGCAACTGTCCAGTCACGCATAACGAGATAAAAAGCCGATATAAACTTTATGAACAAAAGATAATGTAAAACGTAACAGAACGGTAACATGCAGATTCAGCCATCTCAAATAATGGTAATGTTGGGAATTGGGATAGTAGCGTTGCAGACTGCAGAGGAGAGTGGACAGTAAGGCTCCCTCATGCACCACCCCATGGAAAACCTGCACCCCTCTTTGCAGATGAGGCTAGATCCGTCCTTGACGTTTATATGCTTGGCTTTTGCTGTAAAGACAAATGTAAGAAACTCTCACCTTTTAAGAAAATACAAAATAACAGTAACTCCGAATAACATTTTGATTTTTTTTTATTTTGATTTTTTTTTTTAATAACATTTTGATTTTTTTATTATTAATTTTTTTCTTAAAATACTGAGTGGTTCCCGTAATTATTGGCCAAATCTCACCTTTTATTTTGCAAGTAGTATTGCCCCTGGTGTAACTCAGTTGGTAGCCATCATAACACGAACATTTGAAACTGCCTTTGAAGTTTTCACATTTCTGACCACATGTTCCAAATACAGCACATTCATCGACATCGTCGCAATAATGCGAGTTTTTCGGAGATATTTGGTAGCCAGTTCGACAGACACAGTAATAGCCAGGACCAGGTTTAACGTCTGTACAGTTTTGTTGACAAACACCGAGTAATTGACTGGCGCATGTACCACCTAGAAGATTAGTCAACCATAAATCAGGGTGTCCACCCTTTGGTGAAGATGAAATTCAAGGACTTTTCCAGGACTTTCAAGGCCCTTTTTCAGTAAATTCAAGGGCATAGAACTGGGAAAAATCTTTGAAAATGGCACGCATCTTAGACTTTAACAAGCAAATAATTCACTTTATTCAGTAATTTTAATCAAAATCACTAATGTTGGCACAGCTGGAGGTTAAAGAAATTAATTCCAGCAATTTCAAGGACTTTCCAGTCCTAGAATTTTTATTTTCCAATTCAAGGACTTTCCAGGATTTTCAAGACCCGTTGACACCCTGATAAATAAGCAAAATAACTAGTCATAAATCTTGATGGAGTTAGGAATGTATCCCATAGAATAATAGATATCTATTATTTCTATGATGCATCCTAAGGGGCTGTTAGGGTTTGTAGTCCAAGTGAGAATATATACATTTTAAGACCTAACCAGGAACGACTGTGAAAAATGCAGCACAAGGTCCTCTGGTGGGAATTGAACCTACGGCCCTGCGATTCCGGTGCAGAGCTATAACCAACTGAGCAACAGAGGCCAGCTGTTGAGCTGTAATCGTAAGTTCATGTATATATAAGTAATCGGGTGTGCGGGTTGTTATAAGGTGGACTTCAATGATGGATTCTTGCACTTCACTTGGTGGAATTAATATTAGAATGTTAGGGTTTGTAATCCAAGTGAGAATATATACAGGCCAGCCCAGCTAGCCATAATGAATTTTTTGGAATGAAATTTTTTCCTGTCCATAAAAGATCGTTTCAACTTTTAAATATCATTTTCGATGTTTATCAAGGTCATGATAAGAGCTTTATTAAACGAATATCGCGGTTAACCGGACCAGCCCGGCTCCATATGTAATGCATTCTAGATGTGTTATTATTTCGATTAGTATCGTATTGCCGCGCAATGCATGACAATGAGACTTGATATATTTTTGCATGAGACTTTGAGATACAATAACAAAGCGCAACTGTTGCGAATCAATATAAGTGATATACGAAGTCAGATTGAGTTGGAAAATGTAGTGTCTATACACGGAATAATAAAGTAAAGTCTTGGATTCTCTGTTATGCTGTATTTATTCCCCTGTGGGAACGAGGTAACACATACAGCCCCTCCCTAACTATACAAAGACGTCCGTTTGCGGCGTGCCCCAATGTAAACGGATCTTAGAAAGTACATAATTTTCACTAGAAATTTCCATCCACAAAAAACCTTTCAGTAAAAATATCTTACTGCATTTGTCTTCATCTGATCCATCAGCACAGTCACGTTTTTGGTCACATCGTGAAGTGAGGGGAACACATGTCAAACCATCAAGACATTTAAAGTCCGACTCATTGCAAGATCTCTTCTTGGTACAGTGATCTTCATCACTCCTGTCTGGGCAGTCAGCAACACCGTCGCAAACCATGTACGAGGGAATGCACACTGAATCATTTTTACATCGAGTTTGAAGAAGAGAGCATGAATGCTGGGCTGAAAATTGGAGGAAAGGCATTAGATATAAGAAAAACATACTCCGAATAATAATGTCATCTTGTAAACTCAAGATACGAGTTATATAAAGAAAACAAGACAAATTATGAGGTCTGTACTGTGAAATATCAGACCGAGGTTTTTTAGTATTGACCGAGCGACGAAGCAGCGAGGTCCATGCAAAAAACAGAGGTCTGATATTTCACAGTACAGACCGAACAAGCGAGGTCAATAATCGGTTTATTATATGGCTGAACTGAGTCTGTGAGCATATGCTTTTCGCGCGACTTAAATCGGCTATCGTCAGTTTCACTGGGTAACAATTCAATATACGGTAGGCATGCATGCTCAATCAAAAACAATTTGGTTGTTTGAAATTTTTATCTGTAAAGCACAATTGGAAATTTAAAAAGCAAAAATTTATTCTGTTTGCAAAGCAAAAATTTCCAGCCAGATAAACGACATCCGGGACACCAGTCCAGATACAGAAAATATGAACCACGGTCCGGATATGGGTTTTTACGGACCGCTTGTCAACCAATCAGGGTTGAATTTTGAAAAGTCATATAATAATTTCACTTATCCGCCCACTAAAGCAGAAATTCCACGTTTCAGAACTTCCATGCACGTCTCGAACGAAGGCCTTTCGTCTGAAAGGCCAACAAACTTACCACACATCTTTGGATCCTCATCAGAATTATCACCGCAATCATTCCTTCCATCACATTTGGAATACTTATTCACACACAACGTATTTTTACATTCCAACTGATTTGATGAACAACTGCTTGCATTGCAACCTGTAACACGAAAGAAGAAATAAACAAAGGGGAATCGTTAGTTTGAGGAACATCCGAAGAAGGCAAATTCAGGATCCGAGTAACATTAAACAAAGATTACCTTAAAGTCTACCACTCGTTACCTGCATTCAAGTCTACCCTAATTAACTTGTACATTACAAAGTTATTAACAAACAGTCCTCCTGGTTGTTCCGGCTAATTATAGTCATTCTTGAACTTCTTTTTGTCATGTTAGCCGTTTCCAAATATGTGTATATGTATATAAATGTATACAAAAGTATAATGTATATATTGTTGAGTAAAGACAAATAGTATATTGCGTATATTGTAAGGAGTTAGGTTTCAAGTGGGACGAAAGTCCTGTTCCGTTCTCCTGTCACATATAACTTGTTTTGTCATGTATGTATGCGTCGTCTTCGTCAATGTAATTTTTTTTGTATGGTGACAATTTCAATAAATAAATAAATTAAACATTTTTTCCAGGGCTAAAGAGAAGACATATTTCTGTGTCAGCCTAGGTAGTACCAAAACACCAGAAAATTTAGATGGATGGGGATTTTCTTGTATTTCACAAATACCCAATGCATATTCTTCACTCTCCTTACCCATCTCATCGGAATAATCTCTGCAATCTGCAGAACCATCGCAGCGCCATTCTTTATGGATACAATATCCATCGTTACATCGGAATTCTTCCTGTGTACAACTAGATCTACATGTAGCCTCATCGGACCCGTCATCACAGTCCTTGGAACCGTCGCAGACCCATGCCCCATTAATACAGCGCTGGCTCTTCTTACATCTGAGAAGCGAAACATTGAAAGTAAGGTACTTTCTAAGAAATATTATTTGGAGTAAAGCCGATAGGATAGGTCTATCAGTCCTAAACTGTTCTCCCTAGAGGTCCAGTAAGGATCATCTCTTATTGATCCAGTGTTACTACAGGAGGAAACCTAAACTAAACTAACTTTATTTATACTGGACAAGTCCATCAGTTCTAAATTGTTCTCCCTAGAAATCCAGTAAGGATCATTTATAATTGACCCAGTGTTACTACAGGAGGAAACATGAACTAAACTAACTTTATTTATACCGGATAGGTCTATCAGTTCTAAACTGTTCTCCCTGGAAGTCCGGTAAGGGCCATCTTTTATTAATCCAGTGTTATGACATGAGATAACTCAAAGTGACCTAACGCTATTCTAGGAAACATTAGTGAGAAAGAGAGGGAAACTTCAAAAGTTTCTGAATTCGCTAGGAAACATTTTTGCTTCCCGGGAAGCAAATTTTATTTCTGCAATAATGTTTCCACGGGTGGGCAAACAGGAAGACATTTGAGGAAACATCGAGAATCACAAATGTTTCCACAACAATGTTTCCTAGTTTGCCCAGCGCTTAAGTAGCCAATTACTGGAGTAAGTAGCCAATAACAGGATAGGTCTATTAATTCTAAGCTGTTCTTCCTGAAGGTCCAATGGGCAATCCTATATGACTCTCCAAACCTGAAATTGGGTGAATTGCAATCTTGGTAAGTACAATTCATTTCATCACTCCTATCCCCACAGTCATCGGAATAGTCACATTTCCAGAGTATTGGGATACATTTCTTATTTGTGCATTGAAATTTCTCTGTAGGACAGGCTGCAAGATATGAAGGAAAGATGTTAACAAAATGCTAAACTAGCTAACATCAATGGTTACACTGGAGATTGAATAGAAAGGGACTCGAGGTCTCACTCCAGATAATATGGAGCTCACTGACTAATATGAGATCTATACAGAAGCCCGACTTCTTGGTTTTTCCTATGATTTTGGCGTAACCGTAATTTGTCATCGAAATACTAAGTCCTAGCCAGTGCGCTTATGAGAGGCATTCACCCCCCTGATAATATTCAAAATGGCGGACGTCCAGGGGGGAATGCCTCTCATACGCGCACTGGCTAGGACCATGGCGTCAGCATTTTGATGACGAAACATGGCGTGACAACGGTTACGCTTTTTTGGCTGAGTCGACCTTCTGTGTGTCTTTATTCTGTGATGAGATGGTTCGTTAGAAAATGACCCACATACATTTACAGTTAGCTTCGTCAGACCCATCCAGACAATCGACAGTTCCATCACAAACTCTGGACGGATCAACACACTTCCGCAAACACTGAAATTTCCCTTTCGGACACGTAATATCCTTACATATCCCTGGTTGCTCGTCGCTACCATCCGGGCACTCCTGGATTCCGTTGCATTGAGCTGCACGCGGCATACACAACTTGCTAGTGTTGCACTGTATTTCTTCCGGATTACATACGTTGCTCAGTGTGCAATTTTTTTCATCGCTGCCATCGAAACACTGGCTTACGCCGTCACAAAGCTTGTCTTTAAGGACACACCGGTCGTTGTCACACTGGAATTTGTTAGCTGGACATGTTATTCTGGTGCAGTTTCGTTCATCAGACATATCGCCACAGTCGTTGTCACCATCACAAACGTAAAACATCGACGTACAGTTCCCATTACCACAACTAAACTGACCTGAAAGCAGGGAAATATTAAAGCGATTAAGTTCTTGTAACTAAAGCGACCTAACAAAAATTAACATATATACTACCAAAAGCAAGAACAAATTTCGGAATTTTCAATATCAGATAGCAAGGCGCTAAAATATGGAATTCTTTACATAAATCATATAAAGACTTGCCGATTTCTCAAATTAAGTATAAACTTAGAATCGATTTTCTTGGAAAGTATTGATTCAGTTCCCAACTTTTTCTATACGTTATCGGGAGTCAGGACTCCTTTCTCGATCTTTTAAAATTTATTTGATATAGAACTATATTGTCAATTTTCATAATTTTTTCGTCCTTTATTTGGTTCCCTGATATTTATATAGCCCTGTGGTTATTTTAAGGAGCCAGCTCCCTTTCAAATCTTCTCAAAAATTAGAAACAATTAGTGACGGAACACAAAATATATTTTACTACTAATAATAATGCTAACAATAATTTCTTTGTGTATATATAATTGTAATTTGAAAGGAGCAAATAACATCTTGTCTTGTCTTGTCTATAAAATATAAACAGGGCTTTAGATTTACCTAATTTGGGCACATCATCTATCTACGGAAAAGGAGGAGGGGGGAAGCCGATCATTGAATTATTCCAGCTATAGACTAACGTTTGATCCAGACAAGGACGAAATATATCATTATAGCTTCAAAGAACATCCTTAAATTAGTAAAAGTGCCAAATTTGGTTGCAAAATGTTGTAAAATACGGAAAATATAGCCCTGTGAAATTAGCAAATTTTGAGTATTTTAGTATTACGCGCGGAAAAATGCACCACGTTTGAGCCGAAAGTGGTGCATCTCTGCACACTAAAATACTCAAAATTTGCTAATTTAACAGGGCTATATTTTTCGTATTTTACAACATCGCAACCAAACTTTGCAATTTTACTAATTTTAGGATGCTCTTTCGAGCTATAATGATATATTTCGTCTTTCTTGTCTAGATAAAAAAAGTCGATACCTGGAATAATCCACTAAATCTATATGAATACATTCGAGTCACTGAGTTGTGTTACAACCAAACTGGAATCCAACTTTAAGTTTAAAGTATATTGTATACATTTGTTATAATACAATACTGATTAAAGGAACTTATTGCCACAGCGATAAGAGTTTTTATTGCTTCCCGGAATAATTTATAGTTGAAATTAATTATGCGAAATAAGTTATTTGCGTGCGCAAGTTAATTTAAGTATAATCACGTGATTGGAAATTTCGGTATTTAATATTTATCAGTGGTGAAGTGGGCCATCTTCCCTTTCTTATTCCACGAGGGCTGCAGTGCCAGTTCACATCAAGAAATTGGATGGATAAAATATATTGTATACATTTGTTATAATACAATACTGATAGTATCGGCAACAAAAATACCGATATTTTGAATTTAGGACTGGAATACTCACCGACAGGACAGTTTCTGTCAGGGCAACCCTGTTCATCGCTGCCATCGCCACAGTCATCTTCACCATCGCATTGCCACCGTTTTGAAATACACTTGAGATTCTTGGTACAAGCAAACTCCTCAGTATCACACTGGGATAAGCATGACCTGCTGTCACTGGCTAACTTGTGATTGTCTGGACATGCGCATTCATAACCACCATCTGGGGTCAGAAGACATAGACCCATGCAAGCCTCGTTGTTCTTCGTTGGACACTTTGGAGCAACAGTCGGCTGCCTCAGAGGATGAACAACCTGAAAGACATTTCTCAAATTTCTCAAAAAATTCATGGAAAAAACAAAGTCCATCACTTAGAATTTCAATTCAAAAACAGGACAGACAGAGAGACAAACAAGCAAGCAAGCAAGCAAGCAAACAAACAAACAAACAAACAAACAAACAAACAAAACAAAACAAAACAAAACAAAACAAAACAAACAAACAAAACAAACAAACAAACAAACAAACAAACAAACAAACAAACAAACAAACAAACAAACAAACAAACAAACAAACAAACAAACAAAAACAAACAAACAAACAAACAAACAAACAAACAAACAACAAACAAACAAACAAACAAACAAACAAACATATCCACCTGAATATCCATAGGTTTGTTTGTGGTATTCTTTATTATTTTATGATGTTTCCCACTCCATTTATCAGATCTGTGAACAGCTTTAGTCATCCAATCAGTCCAATACATCTGACCTTCAAACACCGTGACTGCGAATGGATGTGAAACTTTGGTTTGAGGGACAATCTTTCTGTTTTGTCCATTTATATCAGCATACTCGATGACATCCAAACGAGCATCAACCCAAAACAGTTCCTTGGTAATATAGTCGATAGTGATTCCGTTAGGCCACACAACTTTCTCATCAATAAGTCTGGTGACGTTCGCCCCATTCATTCCCATCCGGTATATCGCTTGCATTCCCCAATCTGTGAAGAACAGGTATCCTGGAAACATAGAAATATACACATAGAAATATACACAGAGTAAGCATGCCTTCATATTAGTGCATGAGAAAACTATAATTACGATTTTTAGAATGACATTATTAATTATTCTTTGGGTATTTGGGACTTTTTTCGGCATATAGGCCTTACTGCCCCCTGGTAAAAAAATCCTGCGTACGGTCCTGAGTTTGTGATATTTATATACAAACTTTCCAACAAAATCTACATTACATGTGCTTCGTAACATCCCTTATTCTATTTATTATACTTTAAATTAAGATCATAATTACCATTTTTCTATTAAGACTCGTAATTACCATTCTGACTAAGATCATTGACCCCCCTCCTAATTAAAATCCCTAATTATTCTTCTGATTAAAATCTCCAACCACCCCTTTTATCAAGATCTCTGATCGTTCTTCTCAAGTTCTAATTAAAATCATTAATTACCCATCTAATTAAGATCGCATCCAAACAAGATCCTAATTACCTTTCTATTGAGATCCTTAATTACTCTTCTACTTAAGATCCCTAATCACCATCTAATTGAGATCTCTAGCTAATTATCCATCTAATAAGCCTTTTAATTATTCTTCTAATTATTCTTCTAATTACTATTCCGATAAGGATCACTAACAGTCTTAATGCAATCACTAATTACCCAACTAATTAAGATCTGTAATTACCTTTCTAATTAAGATACTAATTGTCATTCTGATAAGAATCTCCATAATTACCCTTCTATTCTTACCTTCTTGTGGATATACAGCCATCCCTCTCGGTTCCTTCAATCCGGTGGTAACGAGCTGTTTTAAATTAAATCCATTCAACTTTGACACATAAATAATGGCCTCTGAAGCTTCGCAGAAATACAGATTACGGCCAACCCAATCTACCGCCATACCATCAGGGCTGAATCGACTCAACTTGACAATGGTCTTGATATCCGTGCCGTCCATTTTAGCGGATTTGATGCCTTTAGGAGAGTTCGTTGACCAAAATATTCGCTTCTCTTTGTAGTCAAAGTCCACTGCGACAACATTGATGAGTTCTGATAGAAGCGTGTTGTAACTCTTGCCATCCAGAGACAACACACGAATGTCGTAACGGTCGGAAAATAAAAGATAAGCAGTCGTGTGATCGTCGCCAGTATATTTGCAAGAACGACGGTCTTTTTTCACCTTATAGCTTTCGCCACATTGACATTTATAGCTACCTATTTGTAAGACAGAAAAAAACTTAGTCTGCGAACTCAGACGGCGTACAACGTAGGTAGTATTCCACAATAAGCTGCCGTGGTTTGTGTCTGAACTACCGAAAAATATATCCACTGTATATAGGTAGTATTCTACAATATCTGTCGTGGTTTGTATCTGAACTACCTGAAAAAGATCTATCAAACGTGGTGGTCCAGTGTAGGTCGTATTCTACAATAATCTGTCGTGGTTTGTATCAGAACTACCTGAAAAAGATCTATCAAACGTGGTGGTCCAGTGTAGGTAGTATTCTACAACAAGCTGTCGTGGTTTGTGTGTGAACTACCTGAAAAAGATATCTCAAACGTGGTGGTCCAGTGTAGGTAGTATTCTACAATAAACTGTCGTGGTTTGTGTCTGAACTACCTGAAAAAGATCTCTCAAACGTGGTGGTCCAGTGTAGGTAGTATTCTACAATAAACTGCCGTGGTTTGTGTCTGAACTACCTGGAAATTCCTTTCCAACGGTGGCTTTTGGTAGTGGATATAAAAATGAAGATTTTTACCTGGAGTATTCAAACACAACTGCGTACAACCGTTCGTCGAGTGGTCTGAACATTCATCAATATCTCGACACTTTGTTTCATTAACTAATTTAAATCCAGGTCTACAACTGCACACAAACCCAGTTTTGGTATTCGTACAAATTTGTTGGCATGCATGCTTTTCTTTACTGCAGTGATCGATAAAACAATTCTTTTCGTCGCTGCCGTCTCCACAATCATTGATTTTGTTACAAACCAGTGTGGAACTGATGCACTGGTTCAGACTTGTGTTTGCGCATTGGAATTCATCGGAACTGAAATGACAATAATGGCTAGATCAATGAGGGTTGATGGTTTTTCTGTTTCATCAGCCCGCGGTATAGCATTAACAAAGGTCTAACAACCCTCTTGATATAAATGTTCAGAATCACTACGGTTTGACATTCTGATCTATATTCTTATATGCGATGCAGTGGTATTTACGGTAAATATCGAGATTTGGACTTGTGTTTAGAGCTCGACAATTGTCTCTCTGTAGCTCAGTTTGTTAGGGGCCAATTACATGGGCGAGTTATCCCGGCTAAGCGAGTTGACTCGCTTTGCCGAGTTGATCCGCTTCCTATATATATTGTCTATTATTTTGACATTTCGATTACATGCCAAACGAGTTGTCCCGCCTTGCCGGGACCGCGGCTGTAGCTTGCCGAGTCAACTCGCTTAGCTGGGACAGAAATTGCCCCC